AAAATTTAAAAATAAATATAAAATTTAACTCAAATTTTAAAAATCATTGATGGTATTTACTCGTTCTATTTCTACGATGATATAATCTTAAAAATTTAACGACCATTTTTTTTATGAACAGTGTGCTATAAAAAGCACGTACAACATGTTCCGCTGCTCCCCGCTGTAACTATTGCTTTACCTTTATTAGGATACGAAAAAGTAAGTAAATAATAAATATCCTATCACATCAAAGATTAAACTATATATTATATAAATAAAAAATAAAAGTAATATACTTTTTAAACATTACTATTTGTTTTGTAATAAAAGAAAAATCAGTCCGTGAATTATAGTATTTTTTTAATGATATTGAAATTAAAAAATTTTAGTCATATATTTAAAATTTATTATGTATTAAATTATCTTAATTTTTAATATTTTAAAAATAATATTAATATAACATTTAAATATTAATATAAATAATATATAATTACTATTAAAAATATAAATAATACATTAATGATCACAAATTATTTTAATTCGACTTGAATAAATTCAAATTTTGTTTGGTTATTATCGAATTTATTTCGAACTTGAATAGCTCAATTTATCAATTTAGTCAAATTTTAGTATTTTTATATTCAATTCAAATAATTCACGAGTCTAATAAAAATTTTATATTTTAATATATTTTTGTTATTTTAATTAATAAAATATATCGAATTCGAGCATATATAATCGAGTTTTTATCAAATATAAAATTAAATTTATTTTTACATGTTAACCTAATCGAGTTAGCTTAAGTAGTTAGATTTCTATCTCGAGTTGAACTTTAACTAAAAAAATAAAATTCGATCAAGTTCGAATCGAGTTTTGAACATAAATTTAATACTATATCAATTTAAACTTGATCGATTATATTCTTACGTGACTTACGTTATAATTACCATACATCATTTTTTAAATAAAAAATTTTAAATATAATTTTTATGAAAATATCTTATTTTTTTTATTTTTTAAATGAAACTGGGTAACAATATCATTACCTCATGTCAATAATGTATTATCCAAATTAATATTTAAGTATTATGTTAGCGTTATTCTAATGATATTAATAAATTGAAACAACATAATGCATAAAAATAAAATTTAGGCAATTGATTTAAAAGTTTTTAAATTCATATATCACATTAAACAAAATTAAAAAATTTATAAATCAAATAAGATATTACCTAAAAAAAAAAGTGAAATAAACATCTCCAACCTTCATGATGAGGCGTAAATATGAAATTTCTTCTCTCTTGATAGGCTCATGTTATAATTAGATTTGATAGTGTATGTACTTGTATTATATTTGCATTATATTAAATATTATAAAAAATAAATTTTTTATTAAATTTATATTGATACGTTAAATATAAAATATTTTTTATTAATTATATATATAATTTTTATTAAAATTTAAATTATATAAATTTTTCATATTATTTTTTAGCATATTATCTTATTATATTTAAAATTATTATATCTAAATATCGCACATAAAAATATTAAATAATTCATTAATCATTTAAATGATGAGTAATCAATTGATGAACTTCGTAAGTTAAATAATGTAATTTATTTGATAATCAAATTGATTGAAATCTTTTAATATATTTTTAAATATTTCTCTTTTTATCATATTATTATATATATTTTTTGATAAAAAAAAATTTGAGAATAGATAGTTTGTTGAGTCTCTTAGATCAAGATAATATGTGTCATACTTGATAGTCTAAAATAAGTAGTTACATGTCGTACATTTAAGATGATCTCAAAAAGTGACTATCGATATGATTCGAACTCAAAATTTTTTCATTAAAAAAATAATTTTAACTGATTAAATCAATTATTTTATTTATATATTATTATATTTATTTTAAATTTAAGGAATCTTATATAGGTGAAACTTATCAGTGGAAGTGAGTTGTAAAATTCTTTTTATGTTTCTGTACGACATACGTATAGGATAAATTGAAATTTAAAATGCGTGATTTTACATCTTACACCAAATTAATTCATATACCACTAAAAGTAAATGGAATGTCACGATTTTAAATACTATTTATTTATTTATAGCATATGATTTAAATATAGTTATTAGGTAACCTACTTTTCTTTCAATATCTTTCTAAATCATAAACCAAAAATATTCTTCCTCACATTCCCAAACAAGAACCAATTTTCCTTTGTATTAATACCTAAAATTACTTTTAAAAAAATTTTTTTTTAGTATATACAAGATCATATTTAAATAAAAAATTTATAATCTATATTTTAGTATATCCCATATTAAAAATATAAATGATATATCAATACTTGTAAGATATTATGATTTAATTTGAATAAAATTCGAATTCGATTCGATTATTATTGAATCGAATTTAAATAAGACGAATTCAATCATTATAATATTTAGCTAAAATAATTCATAAGTCTAATTAAGTTTTTAAATTTTAATATTTTTATTATTTTAATTAAAAATTTATAATTTATCTTTTATATATATTAATTTTAGCTCAAATTTAAATTTAAATATATAATCAGTATAAGAATCGAGTTTATTTTTATTAAATAAGTTTTTTCAAATGAATTTAAATAATTTAAATTTTATTTAAATTAAAATTTAAATAATAAATTTTAAATTAAATTTAAATTCGATTTAATAATATTCGTTTCTTATATTACTGTCTACAGTATATAAAAATATAGCAATAAAATTTCAATGCTGAGAAGCGGGAAAAAATCTAATATTGGAGTAGTTAAATGTTTTTTTTTTTTTTTGCCAAAAAAAGAAGTTAAAATTTTACGGTGTTGATGGTCGATGAAGGTGCCTTGAAGGTGACGCAGATGGTGCGGAGAACGAAGCAAACGACCCCACCACCTGCCCCCCTCTGCCCCCGCAACCTATCTATCATTCTTGCGAGACTCACACGCTATCTAACGAGGAATGCAGCTGCGTGTACACTGCTTATATCTCGCCCTTTTCTTCCCCTTCTCCCCCCCCCCCTTTTTTTTTTTTTCTTCTGTTTTGTTTGGTTTTTTATTGTTGAGAGGGGAAAGTGATTGATTTCGATTATGAAATTTATCGTTTCATTTGTTCACGGAACAATAAAAACAAAATATACTTATAAAATTTTTATTTGTTTTTCTTCTAAGATAAATAAATTTCTAACGCCTGATTTTTGGTTTTCTAATACTGTTCACCATGTAAGTTTATATATGATAAAATTTGATCGATATATTTTTTATTTAATAGTAAATTTAATAATTTATATTTAAAAAATATTAAAATTTATGTATTTATATCATATTTTATATATAAATTATATGTTATAATTTATGTCAATATAAAAACATAATTTTATTAATTTTATTAAATTTATATATAATTATTATTAAAATTTTAAATTATATTATGTTTATTTTTCATAATGTATTATCATATCATATTTTAAATTATTAAATTTATTTAATAATAAATATTATGATAGATGCAAGTGCTGATATTTGATCCATTTTCAACTTTTTATTTGTTTTACTAACAAGGGCAGTCTATACTCCATACACCAATATTCCAGTTATTGCTAATGGGCGCTTTGAGAGGTTAAGAACAAATGTTGAACTTATTGACATTATTCATTTCATAGGAGTAAGAGTATAATATTTTATCAAAAAATATTATTTTCAATTGCACGTTCATGAGGAATTCTTTTTTACCTACCAGTAATTTCATAATTATATGTGATGCATTTATTGCGGACAATTGAGATTTTTTTCAGCCAAAAATGTTGTTCCTAGATATAGAGGTGAGTTTGCTGCCATGTTCTACACTTGATGCTGTTAGTATCACGTTGTTCCATCCTCTGGATGTTTCATTGCACAGTAAGCAAAAATTGTGAGTTGTGTTGCATTCATGTGTTTGTGTTTACAGCTACATTCTCCATATGCAATCATGCAAAATGGCCCTTAGATGGTTCTTTTGTAGCCACTTGTCTAAATTTGACTTAACTTACTTTATGGTGGTGCAAAAACCAGATTAATTAAACCAGTTTAGTGGTTTGATTTGTTAGATTTCTAAGATATCAATCCTTCTTTGGAATGCAAGTCTAAATTATACGGTCTCAGATTTTATTAACATGGTAATTTAAAATACGATATTGTGATAAAATATAAAAATAATATAAATAAAAGATACAGAAATAACACAACTTAAAATTTTATAAAAATCATAAATAAGTTTAATAAAATTCAAAAATTGTATTTTATGTTTTTATATTGACATGAATTATAATACGTGATTTTCGTGTAAAACATGAGACGAATATAATATTTTACACGATATGATGATACAAATTACTAGATCTAGATTTTAGTTTACAGGTTCATGCTTCAATTTCCTGTGCTGAATTATTCAAGAATGATCAATGAACAACTCTGAATGATGATATGGGTGTTCCAGAGATTGTATAAATCCCAACTTTGTGGATTGAGAGTCATGGTAAGATTCTGTTATGTAAAACTATGGTTTCTTGTGTAAACTCCTAAGAAAGCTTTAAATTGAGGGTCTGTCTTGACATTTGCTTGTATAATTGAATGTTTCAGAATTTTGGAAACAAAATGCAAGTGCTTGGTTACTCGGAAAGTATTGCTGGCAGTTATTGTTGTAGAGTAAGCCATGAGTCAGAGCCCTCTTATGCTTCTTGATGGAAGCATAACTCCATCAAGATTTGGGAAACCTATTTACTAAAATAAGATCTTGTCTGCGGCTTTTTTTTGTCGTTTGTCATCTGTTGTCTCAGTTTACCATTCAATCAAGTAGTTTCTGTTTTGTTCAAGCTTTTAAAGCCATAAATTAAGCCACAGTTCTCCTCCCTTTATCTTATAATAGTATAAACACACACACATACATACATACATATATACATACATACATAATGCATTTGAGAATAAAGTCTCAGAGACAAGTGCTTCTTTTGTGCTATAATGTGTGTGTATGTGTGTTGAGAATAAAGATTATCATTTGATGTACGAAATGCAGCTATGAAAACACATTGTACAAGCATACCTTGTTTCTGTGGATGATAAAGGTGCCATTGGTATGATATCAATGTCCTTGCAACTCCTAGGTCAATAAAAAGTGACTGGGAAGAGGATATGCAATGGCATTGGGTGTTTTACCTAATGAATTGTTGGCTAATCAGTTGAGGGATGTGCCTTTGAAGCTTTGCAGCTCTTTTGTAATCGAGCTGGCATTTGCTACTAGTTCTCTGCATGATTAAGTATGTCTCTTGAAGTTTTATTGTACGTTGTGTAGAATAATGTTCTTATCTAAGTTCAGTGCTTTTGAACCAATTCTCTCAGTATGCACAAAATTGACAACGCTTGCTTTGGGGGAATATCAACTCTTTTTGAACAAAAATATGGACAATATGCATTATAGTGGGCAGGCTGCCGTAGATCTATGTATTAGTATCTGTTGATGATTTGTTCTATGTTTCAGACTATGAGATTTATGCGACTTCCTGGTTTTGGGTCCCTGGAAATTACTTGTTTCTAGGCTTTTGTCTATCCATACAACAATGCTTTCCGTTCTGAACTTTTGTGGATGAATGTGATCCCTGACATGCATTTAACTTTTTGAGGGAAATATGGCTATTGATGTTGCTCGTATGACCTACATCTGAACTAGACGTTCTTCAGGGCAGATTCAAATTTCAATTTCCTCTCCTGGGGAGTCACCTACGACATTCCTGAGTCCACAAAGTTATAAAAAGAAAAGATGGAATGGGTTGCTGTGTTTGAGCCCACCAGGCCCATTCTGTTCAGATCAGGTCCCTTTTAAACCTTGGGTCAGCACTCGGCAGATATGAAAATATCATATGTATTGAACTAATCCATAGGAAAAATAACACAATACAAATGGGGACACAAATTATAGACAAAAGTAGCCAAACCAACTGATAACAACTCCATCTACTCTACTCATCCTTTTATATATAAGAATAGATACAAAGAAAACAAATCTAAATTTCTGATCCCAACAGTTCGCGATTTGTCTTGAATGTAAAGATGGGCAACCTGCTTTTAAACTTTTGCTAACCAAAAAAAATTCCATCGAACTTGTTGCTGAAATTCACCAAATCTCTCCGCTTGATTTTCCCATTTTCAGTATCCTGTTGGAAACTCACAGTTCCCATATCCTGCATAGAAAGTCATAAAAGAAAGCGAAAGTTGAGGCCAAAAAGAACTCGTGGATTTGGAGATAGAGAGAGAGAAAAAAGGATAGAATACGTACTAGGAGGATGCGAGACCACGTAAGCCGCACCTCCGAACTCACAGGTGCCAGTCCCACGTGTCTTCTTTTGATAATAACTATTCAAAGCATATGAGGCATGTGCCTCAAGAGTATTAGGATAATAACATGTTGCGCCAGGTTGAATAGGGCTACAATCAGCCCCTCCTTCGCCACAAGCATAATCCAATGCCGCCTGCATCTTCTTCTCGCCGGCATTCCCGTTGGCCACGCACCACGTCTGCCCTATCGATGTCTTCGACACTTCACGGCTCAGCAGAATCCGACTCATGTTCCCGTTGACCGGTGCTGACTTGCCACCCTTTAGCTCCTCTTGTGTTAATGGTATGTCATAAACCTTTTGTTCATTAGGGTAAAACAACCCATAATTTCTTTCTGAGGTAGGACCTGTTTTCTGATTCTCATTAAACAAAGCAAACAAGTAAACGTTAAGGGGTTCCTGGGGTCTCAAAGGGGTCCCATTTCCACTCAAAACTCTTCGTACCAAGTTACCATTGTACGACGCCGCATTAGCTTCACTTGCACCAATTTCACTCTCATCCCCGATTGAAGGCCACCCTGTTTCAGTCACCACCATCTTTAGGTCATCATATTTAAGAGCCGACATGGCAGCAAAAACGGCGTCGATTTGAGCTTCGAAAAGGCTGTAATATTTTAAACCGTTTCCCGGATCAACCACCCCGGAATTCTCTTTAAACAATGCGTAGTCAAGTGAGATTTTATCAGAGTTAGCTGAGTATGCAAAAAAGGGGTATGCATTGACCATGAGGTAAGATCCGGTTTGTTTCAAGAAATCTAACATGGGTTTAATCACAGGTTCGACAAAGTTCGGTTTGAATGAACCGGCTGAAGATGGGTATGAGTTTTGCAAGCAACTGAGAGCTATAGGGGAAGAGATTTTAATGTTGGAATCCAAGTTGAATTTCACTAAGGAAGCATGGATGTTTTTCATTGCTGGTACGAGGTAGTTTGTCGTGTTCTTGGGGTCGACAAAGACTTCGTTTCCAACAGCTATGGCTTCAATCTTTGTTGCAGGGTAGAACTTGGAGATGTTGGATTGAACCCAATTGTCAGCGAAGGATTGGTCAGCTGCAGCCGAGGCGAGGTGTTCGTTGGGTAGAGCAACAACTACGCTGATCCCTGAGTTTGCTAAAGATCTTAGGACCGTGGCATCAGTGTCGAAAAGCTTGACTTTGTTTAATCTCCGAGATTTCAGGAGTTCCACAACTCTGTCGGTTGAAGGCAAGTCATTTGCCACACGACCATAGTTAATTCCAATCGAACCAGCATCTGCAAAAACGTACAAAAGTAAAGACAAAAGAAAGCTTTCAGTTTCATAACTGTCTGAACAAAAAATTGCCTCATTTCTTAATATTTTGTTACATACCTGAAAATGACATGGCTGAAAGGAGAAGAACGAGAAGAGATAAAGCTTGGGAAGCCATGCCCGGAGCTTGGAAAAAGAAAAATGAGATTAGCAGAGAAATTAACCAATTTTAATGGTGGGATGTTTACGTAGTCATTATATAGGGAGAGCGGGGTTAGTGGGAAACGAGAGAGTGGGGTAATGTGGGGGAGTGGCCCACTCACTAATATCATGCTTGGTGATAGCAAAAAGTGGTTGAAAATCCAATGGAAGCCACCAACTCGACCGTTGTTTCTGCACTGTTTTCGGAATCGATTTAGATTTGCAGTAGACATGGCATCATGGCCATACACGTGTTTCACGTAAATGTGAATCAGACAATCAGAAGATGATTAAGAGATGCTATCATTGTCTTTTACATGGATGGGTACATTACATAGCAATAATTAATGATGATAAAAATGAGAAATTTTGCTTAGGCTTCTGTTTCTTTTCCCTAAATTCGAACGTTGGACTGACAGCTAATTGTTGTTTGGTTTTATTATTGAATTAAATTGATAAATTTTGGTTTTATTCTTAAAGGTGGCTATGCTTCAATTGGCTGAATATTTGGTGGGGAAATGACATGTTTTGCTACTCAAAGTTAACTGTTTTGCTTATCTTCATTTCTTCTAAAACATTTCTACTCATAATTATTGTATGCATGTTTGGCTATTCAATTTGTAGAATTTTTAAGATCAAACAATTCGTATATTTATATTATATAAAATATTAAAATTTATATATTAAAATTTTATTTTATATGAAAATTATGTATCATAATTTATATTGATACAAATACGTAAAATATTTTTTTAATTTTATTAAATTTATATATAATTATTATTAAAATTTTAAATTATATTATTTTTATAATTTACTGTTATATCATATATTTTATATCACCGTATCATATTTTAAATTATTATTATTATTATTATTTTTTATGTTTGATCTCAGTTCAAAGGGCTTTAGCTTTGTTTCTTTGGTCAGTACCCCTTTTTTTTAATAAGAAACTTCAAATTTCCTTTTTTTTTTTTATTTTGAGGGAAGGTTTAAGCCCGAAATTTTTTGGGCATATGGGAAGGCTTGGGTTTTGTTTATCGTAATGGGGCTTCATCTGCTTTTGTTTTTTGCCCATTGGACAAGTAATTCAGTTTCCCTTTCAAAACGACATCGTAGCTGAATAAGGAGCCAAATTTTCCAGTCCGTCCGATCCAACTCCACTAAACGAATCCCAACCGTCCATTTCTTTTCACCGACAACCAATATAAAACAAAATCTCCTTCCACTGTGATCATCTGAAAAATCAATCGTTGACTCGGAGCACCGAAAACCCCAAACCCAAACCGTAATCGAATCCCATATAGCCCAGAGGAAGTAGAAGAAGAAGATGTCAGGAGTAACCAATCAAGAGGAAGACAAGAAGCCTGCTGATCAAACGGCTCACATCAATCTCAAAGTCAAAGGCCAGGTTCAAAAATTTCCAATTTCCCTTTTGTTTGTATTTTGAATCATGTTTTTTTACAGTGAAAAAAGTTCTTAAATTTGCTTTTTTTTTTTTTGGAGTAAAATTCTTCTTCCATTTTGGGTCCTATTGCTTATCTTAAATTGGTTAAAAATTTACTGCCTTTATTGTGTTATCTTGCTAAGCATGAAGGCTAGGATCTTTTTGTTTGGCTGATAAAGATGCTTGAATTGGTCTGTAATTTCAAATAAAATTTTGATTTTTGAATAGGAGAAAGAAGAGTAGGCTAAATCAGATATGAAAATAGTTATAAGGAGGTTGAGTTTGGGTATGAATTGGGACTGTGGGTCACAAAGAAAATGCAGACTAACCAAAGGGGGCAAGACATGTTGGGTCTTTGTTCTCAAACAGTGGTAGCCTCTTTTGATGCTAAGTATTGTTGTTTTTCGGTTTTGTAAATTTCTTATCTGTGATAACAAGGTGATGCAATTGCCTAAGTTTGGTATGTGAACTGCAATATATGCTCATTTCCTAGGTTATACCTGTCTTGTTTCGTATGATTTAGTGATGTCTAGCATTTCTTGGTGCTTCTTTAAGCAAATCAAGTAGTTGTTTATGCTTGAACGAGTTTTTATATTCGAAATGTCAAGAATGAATGCTTGTACAATTGTATTTCTATGATGTTTATGTGTTTGGTTAATGATGCCATAGCTACGTGTGGCTTTTGTGTCTTCACAATTGTCTTGTAGTGAGTACAGACTGGTAATTCAACGGATTCTCTTCAAAGGGTTTTTGGTGAAATGCTTTAGTTAAAAGGAAAAGAAAGGAAGATTATGCTTTGGTGGCTTGGCACACCTAAATAAGAAATATAATTGTTCGAGAACACATGTGCTACTTCAAGTCAGCCAGATATGTTATAGAACATATCTGGATTGCAATAATATAAATGATGTTAAGTTACAACATGCTAATTCATCCATTTGCTTGTTTGTAGGATGGTAATGAAGTATTCTTTAGGATTAAAAGAACTACCCAACTGAAGAAGCTTATGAATGCCTATTGTGATCGACAATCAGTGGATTTTAACTCTATTGCCTTCCTGTTTGATGGCCGCCGCCTGCGAGGGGAGCAGACTCCTGATGAGGTATGTTCCTCTCTCTCTCTTTCCATTGTTTTATTTATGGTTTCTTGCGGTTATGTGTTTTTTTTTGGTTACTACAGTTGGAAATGGAGGATGGGGATGAGATAGATGCAATGCTACATCAAACAGGTGGTGCTATGGCCTAACTAGCTGGTTTTTAGGTTATTTATCATTTATGTACTAGGATTTAAGTGGCGGCACTCAGTCGAATTAGGATCTACTTAAATATAACCTCTGAAACTACGTGGTCTGTTCGTTGCCTCGTAACCCTGTTTGTGGATGTTACTTCTAAGTAGTATTTTTATGTGTTGTTGAAGTTTTCTCTTTCTGATTGCTTTAGGAATCACATTTCAGGAAAGGGCGTGAAAATCCTAAGATCATAGTTGGCTTAGGATGTTTGATGTCCCATTAAATCCATGCCATGAATTGATATGGTGTGAAGGCTGAGCTGAGCCATACTTTGCAATAAATGTTACCTTAAATGCTGTCTGAATGAGATCTTGCTTTTCATTAGAATAAGTACATAGTTTGCGTTTGGAGGCAATAATGGAAGGATTGATGAAGCATTTTTTTGTTTATTCTGCACCGAAAGAAGAAATAACAGAAAAATAACCAGCCAAAAATAAACAACTGGTTCCTGCAAATTGCAAACATGCTCTTCAATGTGATTGGTTGGGAGGACGGTACTCTTTTCATTCCCCTTTATTCTTTATTGAAATGTTTGTTGGTGGCTGAAGCAAACCTGGAGGGCAAATCCCAGGCGGTCTAGCTGGCAGGATGAGGCCAGGGTTGTTTCCTAGGACAAGGAGGGTGAGGGAATGGTGGTGGCCTTGGGTGAGGAGTATGGTTCTGGCCAATGGTGAGGAGGGAATGGTTGTGGCGGGTGAGTGGGAGTAGCGGCCATGGAAATGACCATGGTGATGAAGGCTGTGCATATCCACACATCCCTTACAAGCATGGGACTCTCCAAGGGCTTCTATTTCCACATCCACCGCAATTAAAGGGACTAATATTCCTATTGATGCAGATTCCCCTGCAACATTGCCAAGTAAAAGGATATCTAATGATTCTAATCCCACATACGCCGCAGTGAGTATCATCAGAGGCAACATCAGCATATTGGTTCCTACAACACCGCATCCGAGCTGTGGGTGGATGTTCTCCCTGTTCACATATCCATGGCGTGAACATGCACCCACCTGGTCTCGGCCTCGGGTTTGTTACAATCCTGAGCCATGGTGATGAGCCAAAGTTGCATTTTGTAGCTTCTACTATATCACAATTGGCTATAATAGAAACAGTGGCAGAACGATATCAACAAATCATTTAATAATAATAATAAAAAAATTCATGACTCTATTCTTAATTGCATAGAGTGACATGATCACAGTTAAAAAGGAAATGTAGACTTCCTCTTTGCCAAGTGAAAACAAGCCAATCTTACGGAGGCACACCATCAAATTTATGTGAGCCTTAAGTTCATATTTATTACATAACTTATTAACAACCATAGCTATTATATACATACACACACACACACACATATATATATATATATATATGAGGAGAAAAATGGGAGAGAGACAAAAAAACAGGGTAGAGAGGCAGGAAAAGGAGAAAATTTTGGAGAAGCTATAGCCCCAATGAAGGAGAAAAGGCAACACTTAAGTCAAAACAAGTTTCTTCAACATGGGTGCTTTCTTTTGATCTCTTTCTTGGCCATATTACCTTCAGTTCGATCTTTCGACTATGGCAAAGCCCTCTCCAAAAGCCTCCTCTACTTCGAATCCCAACGCTCCGGCCGGTTACCCTACAACCAAAGGGTCGCCTGGCGCCACCATTCTGGCCTCATCGATGGCCTAGAACAAGGGGTAAGTAGTCCATTTCATCCCCCATCTCCCCATGCACAATAAGATTTCAATGGTTAACATCAAATAATATTGTTCATATATCTTCTTCCATAAAATTTACATTGAAACATATGTTTGTTAGAAACTACGTAACATTGTAAAGTATGGTATCTATCATTGTATGAAAAGGTGGACTTGGTGGGAGGGTACTATGACGCCGGAGACAATGTGAAATTTGGTCTGCCGATGGCATTCACCGTTACAATGCTCTCATGGAGTGTCATTGAATATGGAGATGAAATTGCCGGTGCCGGAGAGTATAGTCACGCGCTTGAGGCTATCAAATGGGGAACTGATTATTTCATCAAAGCTCATACTCACCCAAATGTCTTGTGGGCTGAGGTAAGAAACACTAATAACTCTATAAAGTTTGATTTATGACCTTTGTTTTTTCTTTGATGATTTGACTCTATTTCTCCTTCAACTTCAGTCATTATTATATATAGTAGCTTATGTTATACGAAAAAAAGAACTAAACATTTGATATTTAATAATTTTAACTAGGTGGGTGATGGTGACACTGATCATTACTGTTGGCAGAGGCCGGAGGACATGACAACATCCCGGCAAGCCTACAAGGTGGATGAGAAGAACCCGGGATCGGATGTCGCCTGTGAGACGGCAGCGGCTATGGCGTCAGCCTCCATTGTGTTTAGGAAAACAAACCCACATTACTCTCACCTACTATTGCAACATGCACAACAGGTAAGCTAGTTTAATGAGATTGCCATATTGTGACATACTGTATTTAGTAGGTGCATTGTTCACCAAAAGCACAAGCGTTTTAACTAATTCTCATTGCAATTAATTTCTTACTTATTAAAATATTTGAATTAACTAAAAAAATGGTTTTTTTTTTTTTTTTTTTTAATTTGGACAGTTGTTTGAGTTTGGAGACAAGTTTAGAGGGAAGTATGATGAAAGTGTGAGGGTGGTGAAAGGCTACTATCCGTCGGTGAGTGGGTTCAAAGATGAGCTGTTGTGGGCAGCTTTGTGGCTATACAAGGCCACCGACAAGGAGGATTATTTGAGGTATGCTCTGGAGAAGGCAAATGAATTTGGTGGGATCACTTGGGCCATTACTGAGTTCAGCTGGGATGTCAAGTTTGCTGGTGTTCAGATCATTGCTTCAATGGTATAGATCTGCACGCGTGCTCGCATATACATATATAAATTTATAAATTTTCATTTAATAACATGAATGATTTCAATGTAACATTGTTATTTTTGTATTGCTGCAGTTGTTGATGGAAGAAAAGCATAGGAGAATGAAACACAAGCATGTATTGGAACGGTATCGTTCAAAGGCTGAATACTACTTGTGTGCTTGCCTTAACAAAAACAATGTGACCAATGTGAACCGCACCCCAGGAGGGTTATTGTACATTCGTCAATGGAATAACATGCAATATGTATCAAATGCAGCATTTCTTCTCACAGTTTACTCTGATCATCTTCATGTCTCAAATCAACGGTTGAGATGCGATCGCGGAGAGGTGGGTCCGGAAGAAGTCTTTGAATTTGCCAAATCACAGGTTGATTACATCTTGGGTGCTAATCAAATGGCCATGAGTTACTTAGTTGGGTATGGTTCAAGGTACCCCCAAAGGATGCACCACAGAGGAGCATCCATTGGCTCTTATAGAGAGAACAAGGGATTTATTGGGTGCATTCAGGGGTATGATAATTGGTTTCAAAGAAATGATCCAAACCCTAACGTTGTTATTGGGGCCCTTGTTGGTGGGCCAGATAAGATGGATCAATTTAGTGATGATAGGAAAAATTTCATGCAAACTGAGGCTTGCACCTATAATACTGCAAGCCTAGTTGGGGTTTTGGCTAAGCTGCATGGTTTTGAAAATGGAGATTTTAGTGCTCCTTTAGTTCCTTCTAGCTAGCCAAAAACTCAAGTTCTCAAATGAAATTGCTCTGACATTATATGCAACCAATCTTATGTACAGAGAAAATGGAAGAACAAAAGAAGTTTATACAAAAGAAAAAAAAAATTGTTTATTTTACAAGCTGAATGGTAGTTCAACGTTTTCCTTCTTTGGGCAGCTTTTTCATGTGAAATTATATTTGAAATTAGAACTGATAATTCGTGTATTTGGATTATATAAAATATTAAAAATTTATGTATTTATGTCGTGTTTTATATGAAATTACAATCAACAAACCTGCAACCATTTGAGTGTCTTTTTTTTTTTTTTTTATCTCATTGGTTTTGGAACTATATGAATCAATATTAATAAATAAAAGATAAGTAAAGATTGACAATTTGATCATTACAGAGATAGAGTTAGGATCATTGTTTGGAAGACAGGAACTGATAAACATACATGACAAAATAGCTGCAAGCTTTTATGTCAAACAGGAAAACAACAGACAACACTTGACTCTGAATGCTGAGCTGAAGTAGACATGATCTTGTAGCCTGTAATAATGATTTAGTGACTAAAGCACTGAAGTTATTAATGGAACAGAAGCATAAATCAGCAGCACTGAAGTTATTATTGTACTGTTGTTTTACTGCAAACTCTTGCAATGGTTACAAAACCATCATTTTCATCATAACTAAACCATATATATAATATTATTGTACGATTTAATAAGCTGCTTTAGTTTTTTGTCAACAGTCTTGTGGTAGATAGCCCCTGGTTCATGATCCTTGTACCTGTTCTTAACAGCTTCAACCTTATGATCACTATTGAGTGCCTTGGCAGTGCCATCATGTACTTTCTCCAGAGTCTGACTAGCAAATCCTTTGTCCTTTCTCTGCTCTATCCTTGTTCTTGGAAACTCTTTCCAACTTTGCATCTGCTGAACCTGCTTTTTCTTCTGCTACGGGTCATTGTTTCTGGCTAAATGAAGAAAATCCTCCTCATTATTGGCTTGGTTGCTATATCTCTGAAATTTTTATCAAATTCAGACATCATCAGCTTCACCAACACAGAAGAAAATTAAGCAAAATGCAAGGCCAAAAACAGAAAATTAGTTACTTTAATTACCTTGATGAAATAGTAGAGATGGGTTGTGGAAAATGGCTTTTAAAGTGAACGTTTTAAGGAGTTGTGGAGGAGACAGATAATGTTGCTACAGGCTCTACCCATGTTTAACAAAGAAACTTCCCAAGAGATCAGAAATGGATATTACAGAAGATTTAGCACTACTGAAGTTTGGTTTGTTGTCACATGAAATTACAAACATGAAGGTCAAAGAGGTTGGCCAAATCAGCTTTAAAGAGGATGGAGTTGAACGTGTCTCAATAGGCAGGGCTTTAGCTAGGCACGTGGTGGTGTAGGGATCTGCCATTTCAATTATGCTTAATGCTCATGAAAAAATTTATCCTGCCAGATTGATCTAGGACTAATATGGATGGCACGGATTTTTTTTATTCCGAATCCAAGTTGATATTAAAATATTACTTTTATATTTAAATCTAATTCAATTCATATATATTTAAATTTGTAATTAATTTGATTTTATTCGAAATTAATAAAATATTAATTTTAAATATAAATATAAAATTAAATAAATAAATATATAATTAAAATTAAAATTAAAAAATAAATATATACTTGATTAGAGCGAGACAAATTTGTATAAAACTCGATGTAATAAGATTTTTTTAAAACATATTTAACCTAAATCAAAACTCAATTTAAAAAAAAAAAATACTCTATAAAATTAGATTTAATCATAATCCATCGGATACGAATTGAATTACTATCCGTAACTAGGTGTAATGAATGTCATAGATCGAAAACAAATATTATTGGCAGGTCTGGTATATGTGAAATACCACTATAATTATTTATGAACTCTGGTAGTAAAATACTATAAGTAATTGTGATTAATTAGATTCTATTTGGTTTATATTTTTATTATATATTTTCCTTTTTATTCATTAAAAAAAATAAAGTAAAAATGAAAACATCAACCAATGCAGCCTTAATAGCTAAAATGTCATGCTATAATCCCAAAAATGTTCGATGACTGTAAACATCACATTATTAAATTTTAGTGAAGTTTTTACCTTCAAATTTCGACTAATGTTTGATCCAATTTTTCCTACTTTTTCACCAGTCATTTGAAGCTTTAAAGGGTTGCTTTTAAATTTTTGTTCTTTCATAAATTGCATAATTAAATCTAACAATTTATGTATTTATATTACATAAAATATTAATAATTTATATATTCATTTCATATTTTATAAGAAACTTACATATCACAATTTTTATTGATACGAAAATATAAAATATTTTTTTATAATTTTATTAAATTTATGATTTTTATTAAAATTTTAAACCGTATCATCTTTATGTTTTTTTTTAATTATTTTTGTATTATATTATTGTATCATATTTTAAATTGTGAACCTCAACTTCGGGTCTACGCGTGATGCAGCTTTGAACCAACTTGACTTCCATGCTACCCACACGAATCCAAACAAACAGAAGAATACAGGAAATATTCAAATGGTCTTGGCTGTTGGGCACAACAACAATGATCCTGTTAATACTAAATTACTAAGAACACAGCCAAACTTTGGCCAATGCAAAGGCAATCATTTGATGATTGCCAAACCCTCCCAGAAATTCAAGCCAAACTTGTTCATAGATGAACTAAATGACCAAAGCAAAGCTGAGATGTCAAATTTTGAAAAAGGAAAAGAATGCTGTGCCTCACCACCCAACAAGCAATAGTTTTAAAAGAGCCATCCGGATATAAAGACCATTCTTTGCTTGTCTAAAATAAGCAGCCCTTGGATCCACATCAACATCCACAGTGATCTAATCAAGCCTTGGGAGAGGATGCATGACCACAGCATGCTTCTGCATTACCTTTAACGCATCCTTGTCCACGATATACTTACCTCGAGCTTCTTCATAGAGATCAATTCTCTCTCCGAACCGTTCTCGCTGAATACGGGTTTGATACACCACATCACATTTAGAGGCCACATCCATTAGATCAGTGCTTTCTTCCCACTCTACACCTCTTGATGTCAAATAATCTTTAATGTCATCCTGAAAAGTTAGAAATAAGAAGTAAGGCAAAAAAATTCGAACTTCCGTTTAATACTTAAGATTAATTTAGCAATCTATTGACAGCTAAATACAAGTAACATAGATCAAGAAAGCGGAGTTTGTCAAATGCTAACCTTCATTTTAACAACACCAGGGGAGACAAAGTAGATCTTCACATCTTGGTACTTTGCAAGCAAGTAGGCAAGAGAACGAACTGTTCTCCCATTGGCAAGATCTCCCACAAGCCCAACTCTGATGCCATCCAGTTTTCCTATCTCTCTCTCTATGGTGTAGACATCTAAAAGGGCCTACACAACATCGAAAACAAACAATCTTTGGACTCAAGAGTTGTATGACACTTATGGGGGATAAAGAAATCCTCCTGTCTCATCTAAACATATATACCAGAACGTTCTCAAGCTCTCAAACAAAGGATCATACAGTGCAAGAAGAGAAGAAATGATCAAGGGTGATGTGTTGAAGTGAGTGAAAGCTCATTTTTCTATAGCTTAGGCGCCATAAATATATAATAAAACAACAAATTCAAATGCTATCCAAACTCCAGAAAAGATATATAATTCACATTAAGAAAAAGCTCAGAACATACCTGGGTGGGATGTTGTCCAGGACCATCACCAGCATTAAAAATAGGAATGCCTGCTGTAACTGCTGCTCTTCTAGCAGCACCACTTTCAAAGTGTCGCATCACAATTATATCAGAGTATCCCTCAACAGTTCTTATAGTATCTGCATAGCAAGCTGCTTGATTAGAAAAACACCACAATGGAACCACTTCTAAGAACCCTAACTAACTAAAAGGTTAAGAAAATTGCCTTCAAGTGTCTCTCCTTTTGCAGCTGAAGAAAATTCCTGTGCATTTTCAGTTGTCAGAACTTCACCACCTAGCCGCTTCATGGCAGACTCAAATGAAAGTCTTGTTCTAGTTGAGGGTTCATAGAAAAGGGTGGCCATCAGGTAACCTTTGAGAATTTGACTTCCACGTGATTTCTTTTCAATATTCTCCATCTCACATGCAACTTCAAATATAGCATTTAGAGTATCTCTATCAAACTGTTGAGCTTAATATCACATCATCAAGTCGAAACTTCTTCCCCATTGTCAATGCAGGTACATCCTCAATTTCCAGCGCACAGCACTGCATCCCATTCCTTGAAAGCCTTTGGCTTTGTTCCCATTTCAATGATTTCTCACCGGTTAACAATCTTGAATAGGTAAAGTCAGCAGATAACTTAGCATGAATAGGTAGTTTACTCAGGACATTTGAAACATTACATTTGAACTCTTTATTGAAAATTTTCACTTTAATAGCAAACGAGACCCTATTCAATGTGCACGTAAAAGATGATGATGAAGAAGCCATTCTACTTGAATGAAAACGTCCTCAAAGTCCCTGGAACAAAATATAAACCAATACTTGCACTTATCTTCGATCAAATAACAACACGACTTCACATTAATTTCTACAAGAAACAATAAGAAAAATTCTATGAATCAATAAGCTTGAATGATGCCGATGAAAGCTCCTTGAGTATACTAAAAAACCAACAATTCTCATTAACCTGAATCAAGCTTAACACCTTTGAATGATCAAAACTAACCAAAGCTATATATATATATCCACCATTTTGTTAGCTTGCTGCTTAGGAATATAAACCATGATCTCGAACAGTAAGCTTATTAAAAATCAAAACTTTTTTGAAGCAATCATCTACCACCACACCAAAAGAATACCCTGTATTCCAAATGCAAAAAACAACCCAACAAAAAAAAAAACATACAAATTAAACATACAGCACCACTTACTCTCAGTACAATATCCACTTCAAAATTCCAATTACTCTCCACTTTGTTCATCAACCAAACAAACAAAAAGTATCCAATAACACGAAAAAGAAAAAAACTAAACATCACAAAACCGATAAAGAAAGAGAAACAAGAGTAAGAAAAGATACCTGGGAAATTTTCCAGGGAAGAGAAAGAAATGTTGTTTTTGGGCGCCGAGAAAAGAAGGGGAGAGGAGGGAAATACGGGGCTTTTTTAGGAAGTGAAAGAGAAGTGGGGATGTTTGGAAACAGTGAAAATTCAGAAAGATTTTGCGTTCAATTGTGTCTTGAAACTCTTTAAGATATTTGGCGGAAAATATGTTAAAAAAAAAAGAACTTTGTTTTTTTGTTTTTTTAATTGAAGATTTTATTGGATTTTATCATCTGTGTCCGGGTTCGCCGAAGAGTTTGCAAAGTGAGGTCAGTTCAAACAATCCAACGGTTGAGATGAAGTTGATCATTATATCTCTTTTATTCTCATTGTTTTTTGTTTTATTTTTTATAAGCAAAGTTAATCAATACGTTCAACCTACGACATCGTTTAGCACATTTGAAGGGAAGAGACAGATATTTGTATTCATGGATAATCCCGGCAGCATAGCCAGGTAAATGGGCACCTAATCCCCCATAAACCACAGTTGTTAACCCTTGAGGTAACATCAACACAATGGTTTCAACTTTCAACAACACTTAATTCGAGCTCTTCGTCAATTTTTGTCCCTGTCTGCACGTCCATGGCTTAAACCTACACCTGGTCGGTCGCTCGGGTTCATCATTTTCCTTAGCCATGCTGAGGAAGATGATGATGAGCCAGCAGTTTGCATTATCAGCTTCCACCATCAGTCTTACTAACACAGGAACTAGCAGCAATATACAGATCAAACGATTGGCTAACCAGCTCATTTCAAGATGCAAAAGGCGTGACCGGGCTGTTTTTCCTGAATATAATGCTTTTTCCAAAACCAAGGACCTTTACTTGGTGACATGGTAAACCTGAGCCCACCATTTCCATGGACCTCAAAAGGTATGCAGTACAATTACAAACTAGTATCGATCAGTCCGGATGTTTCAACTTTCGACCATGAACCAGATCACATGATTCAGCAGAGTTCAAGTTAAGACATTAACAAACTCAAAAGCAATCTGAAAGATATCAGGTAAATACAAGGCAGACAGCATACACTAAACCATAGCAGCAAAATGCAGATTACAAACCATTGCCAACTTTCCACTGATCAAAGCTCCAAAAAATGATACACAATACAAAGGTCCAAGACCTTGATTTGCAAAATCTATGGATAGATAAAACTCAGGTATCAATCACAACAAAGAGAGGAATAAAATTACCTCATCAAAAACATGAAACAAGATAAAGTTAATCAACCACAGACCTGGATGTACTATATTAGTAGTTATTCACCAACCGATATCAAGTCTACATGATTCATGATTATTGAAAAATCAATTCATGGAAATACAAACTGGTTAATATTCAACTACATTAACCTTCAATTTCCAATCAGAATATAAAATGCTCAGTAAGCATCATAGAAAAGGAGGGAAGAAAATTCGAGAAATAAAGAACTGTTGTATGCTATATTAAAGCACCAAAGCCTCAAAAGAATGGTGGAACCTCTCAAACCACTTCTGAAACAACTATTTGACAAAATGGGAATGTTCTAAAGTTCAAGTGCTTTGAAAAAGCAAAAGAAATGTGCTTCACTACACTAATGAAACTCATGTTTATTCCACAACATAGATATTTAAATCTAACAACAGATACCAATCTTCCTTAGCATCCATAATTCATTTTTCATTTTTCTCTGAGTTCTCTGAGTCCTCAGGCTTCTCCAGCCCATAACGACGGTTAAACTTAGCAATCTGTCCTACACTTGCGGCCATTTGGCGTTTCGCCCTTAAGTGATAAACTTTTCCAACACTATGTATTTTGGTCATCATAACATTCACCAATCGACCACTCTGGGTCACATAAGATATCCACTGCATCTGAGGGTGCAATCCTTTCTTCATTTTCCACAAAACTACAATTCAAAAACAAGCTTATTAGAGTAGAACTATGAAAACTAACAAAATGAAAAAAAAATTCAATGTACAATTAAAAAAGAATTAGATTCCTTCACTAGAACAGCTCATGGCAACAAGAACTTGTCAAAAACAACACTGGAAATTCCCATTCCAAACAATTAATCGGGCAGCATTTTCACAATGAATACAATTACAGGAACCAAAGCCAATGGTATGGAACCAAAAAAAATGAACTTTTAACTCAGAATCAAAGGTCAAAACACCCAAGTTAAATGGAACCACAGAAAACAGCTTACTTTGACCTTTAAGGTGCAAACAGAAACCCAACATTTTTCTTAACAAAATTTAACTGAAAACAAATCCTAACACAGTAACAATAAAAGAACTTTACAACCCAGAATTTCAAATTTGCTTACTTATCTCTTCATCCAAATTTGGGAATCTGGGTACATAAAATTAATAATAGAGAAAATTTTGAGCACGTTTCAAGCAGAACATAAGCAAAGAAAGTTATAACAAAAAAGAAAAAAGAACCGTACCTGGCGGTGGAATCAGCGGCGAAGGAGTAAAGTTTATGGTGGCAGCGCCTGCGCTAAGCAGAAATCCGGTGGCTGAGCAAAGAGGGATTAGCGATCGAGAGTGGAAAGATCAAGCATAGATACTTGGGCTGGGCCCAAGTATATATAAGGGAGATGTAGTTCTTAAATTCAATATTATTTATTACAAAAGCCAATTGCCCATTTCGGAGAAAAGAGTGCAAAAAACAATTATTTATAAGAAAAGCCCATGGCCCTTTTTTTTTTTTAGTTTTTTTCTGTTTATCTTGTTCGTTTCACAAATTTTGTTATAAATCAAATATTGAAAATAAATTTTTAGATAAAAAATGGTGAACTAGCTAAAAAAAAGATATCGGTTAGACTCGAAATTTTTTACAATTTTAGATAATGAAAAGACTTAAATAATGTTTTTTAGATTAAGTTCGTAAATTTTTTTATTAAAAACGATTAAATAAAAATTAAGATAAAAATCAAAACGGATAAATTAAAAAGTCTTGTTATAAATATATCAAATGTACAAAATTTGACAAAAATAAATAATTTGAAATATTTTTTAGATAAATATTTTTAAAAAATATTTGATAAAATTTTTATCGATAAATAAGTATCAATTAAATTTAAATTATAAATAATATTTTTTAATAATTTCTTTTCATATTAATCTCTATGGAATTTTTTATTAAAATTTTTATTAAATCATTTTAAGAAAAAATTTCAAAACCTCACCTATTTGTCCTTTAACTTAGTCTGAGATCCCTACATCTCTGTTAACTTGCAAGTGTAATGTAGGATCCTTTGTAGTAAAGCTAGTTCCCTAGGTATCCCCAAGAACCCAGCAGCAGAGCAAGCAGAAATGTACCATAAAAACATAATCTCATGCATTTATTAGCTCATAACAGCAAACATCACCTTACATTACATTCTAGTTCACATGATCCAATAAAGTACATCATGAAGCCAATAAGCATATAGCAGTTTATGCAAAGTCGAATATCCTTACAGCAGTGCAAACTAAGTTTGCTTATTTAGAGGCTACCAGTGCCATAATTCATACAAGCTTTAAACATAATCTTTGATACCAAACTGACATAGTAGAAACAGAACTCCGGAGGGACGGGGCTCTGGTTCTTACTGCAGAACAAGGCATTCTTGTGTCCCAGCCACCATCGGGTCGTGGGAGCCTTTGGTGATGGTATTCTCTCCTTCAAAACATTGAGCTTTAGTATCAGGCTCATCAAGAAAAGTCTCATCAACATTTTGAATGCTATCTTTGCCACTGGCAATGGCTTCAAATAACAGAGCATTCACTTCACAGAACCTCTCATCAGAGAGAGAAACCTCTGCAAGAAGCCTCCAAGCATTTTCCTCAGATGCCTCGTCATAGTCCTTCCTCCTTTTCAACACCATATGACCACTAATCTCCCACACAGCAGGGTTTACCTGGGTGTCCAAAAGCTCTGGACTCACTTCCCCAAGTGCTTGTTTCTCAGCATAACACTGTTCAATTGACAAATTGAAAATTCAATTGTAAGAATCATGGAGATGGTAAAAATGCATCATTTATGATTCTAGTTTGTGTTACCTGTGGAAGGAGAAAGATACGCTTTCCACAATCAGAGATGAGGACATTGAATGGTATGTTGTTATCTTGAAGGCAAATGCAGGCATCACACACCGTGTCAGACAAGTCCTGGAGAGTGTTACCACCTTCAAAGACAAGTCCTCTGACTGGATACTTTAAAAGCTCTGAGATGATCACTCCGTCATTCACAGTGGTTAACTTCTTGGTGGGAGCTTTCTCAATGGGAAAGGGCATGGCCAAATAGTAAGCCTGCAGCGATTGGAATAGTTAAACAACCTTCCCTTTCCAACTGTACATAACTATACCTAACAGATATCATGGTCGCAAAAAGTACCAAGAAGAACCAAATTGGGAAGTTAGATACCTGGAAGTGAAGGTGGTTGATTGTAGCAAATGCACCCAAGCTGTTATAACCCAATCTGAAGTATGGATTCCCAACTTCAGCTGCCATATAAAGTGCAAGCAAGAAGCTCTCACGGTCAATCCTCTGGGGCAAGCATTCAAGAATTCGAGGGATCAAGAGCACATGTCCATATTCAATAGGACTCACCTGTTGAATTGTATACAATGTTAATCTTATGAGTCTAGCACTCTTACTCAACTAGGTATTCTGTAGCTTGAATAAGTAAAACTAACGTACATTTATGGCAACAACACTTGGAGAATTCTCAACATCAATGGGAGCATTTGGAAAGAACTGAACTTCACCATCTTCACTTGCTTCAAACTGGAAGAGCACCTCTTCTTGCCCAACTTTGGTGAAGTTGAATTTGTTCCCATCAAAGGGCTGGAGAACCTTATCAACACGGAACTCAGTTGGCCTCTTCTTAAGGTGGCGGCCCTCATTCAGCTGGGCAATAAAACCATATTCACCAGGAATCACCTAAACCATGATAAACACAGAAAATTTTGATAGTACCAAAAACTTAATTAACCATAAAATTTCTGGTTATTTGCAGACAAACAATTAAAGCAAAGGAATAGAAACGGAGACCAAATAAGACCTTGGTTTCACAGGCAGTGACATCATATCGAAAGAGCCCTCTTTGCAAGCGATCCTCCCACTACCATCAAACCATAAAGTATTTTTAACCTCACTATTTGTAAACACAACAAGTATTAACCATAACAATGATCTTATCTTTTTTCTTATATAAACAATGATTTTAATCTTATTCAGCACAAGCTTAATAGAAAATTTTACCTCCCCAAGAATGAGTGAGTCAAGAAAAGAAACGGGAGGCTCTCTGTTCTCAATTCCAAGCACGTCTTTTTCACTCTCAATATTGTTCAGCTTCTTGAAAGCATATAAAGGAAGCTTTGCCCCTATAAACCAAAACCCTGTTCCAGTTACACCTCATTTCTATGAAACTTATCACACCAAGCAATGTTACGAAGTAAATTTAACAAATACCTAGGGCTATAAACAAACTGAATATGAACAAATGTATATCTAAGGTTTGTTCATTTATTTATTTAACAAATACCTAGGGCTATAAACAAACTGAATATGAACAAACAAATGTAAATCTAAGGTTTGTTCATTTATTTTTACAAGTGTTTAGGCTTGGTTTGTGTTCAATAAGAAAATTGCTCTATTTGTTCAAGCTCGGCTTATTTAAATGGTAAGATATTCGCATTCGAATTGTGTTCAGTTTAATTGAGTTAAACAAACTCGTTCTTGAATATTAAACAAACATGTTAATGATCAATAAACAAACCATTACCAAACAAATTTAAACAAACCTTAAACAAATATAAACGAATCTGATTGAACATATACAAACCTTAAAATAGGATTAAAAATGAAAGATAAAAATATAATTTTATTAGTATTATTATTAACGAAGAACAAACGAACAATAAACAAATAAGTTTTAAACAAAGTTGTTCATGATCATATACGAATCAAATACATATCTGTTCGTGTTCAGTTTGTTCAATAAACAAATATAAAAATATTGTTTAAAATCATTTATCAAGCTTAATAAAAGAACATAAACGAATATATACGAAAAAAAAAAACCAAATATGTTCACGTGCTGATCATCAAAAGCTCTATTTGTTTACAAACTTAAAAATACCTGAAATGCAACAGCTTCTAAGGCAATTCTTTCCGCACCCACCGCTACGGCAAGCACTCTGTTCCGCCTCATCCTTTTGGTAATTCGAAACAACAGTGGGAACCCTCTTAATCCTGAGCATCATCTTGCTACTACTTCTCTTCTTTCTTTATCCAATAAAAATCAAATAGAGATAACCCACAAAGAACAACAACGTAGAAGATGAAAAACAACAGCCTTTTTAAAAGAAACTTGTTCAATGGTAATTTTTAAAGACTAAAAGCTGTCTATTTATACTACTGAAACTCTAAAAGGCAACACCACCACCAGCAAGGAAGAGGAGATCGGAAGGACTACCGCCTTCAGAAGGCAAAGCTCCACGTCCGCCGTGCGGCGAAGGGTTGCTCTCGATCACACAACCCGTTCGTCGTACAATTCGGACATGAATAGGCCGAAAAGCTTTGTATATAGCCGTGATGTCCACGATTTGTCTAACTCTGGGTGTTACCCCCACAAACAAAAACCCACAATTCAAAATCCCTTTAAACTAATCTAACCAAATACCAAATCTCTCCAGCTTCAAGAAAACAATATAAAACTTTTATCAAACACCTGGTGTGCACAAAGAAGAAAAGAAAAACCCCTTCAACCTGTTTCCTTATTTCTTTTCGTGGTGGTGTGGGATGAAAGGAGAGAGGAAGAAGAGCGGAGATATATAGATAAGAGGTGAGTGATTTTGGAGGGATTGTGGCTATAATAGTAGTGAGAAAGCGGGAACCAGAGAAAGCTAGTGGCCCCGGTGCCCTCTTTCAGAGTTTTGGTTTTGCGGGCTTAACGACAATTACTTGACAGAGAGATATGAAAATATAGAAAGAGAAACAGAGATTGTAAACAGTAGGAATAATAAATATATCCGAATTCGTTGATTTGAATCGGATTCAATTTTATAAGATCGATTTTTTTTTGTTTATATAAATTGAGTTTCGCCCAAATGTTTGAAAATAATTGAGGTTAGGTTGGAGTCTGATTTTAGGTGAATATATATCTAAAATATATTTTTATTATTTATTTAATTTTATATTTATATAATTATTATTTAATATTTTAATTTAAAATATTAATTTAATAAAAATATTATATAAAATTAATTTTAAATCAAATAATAAAAATTTTATACATATACGAATTAATTGAATATAAAATATAATTTTTTAATATCAAATCCAAATTAAATGTATATTTTATAAAATTAAAACAAACAAAAAACTTATCCCGACGGAATCGTTGCCGTCACCAATCAAGAGTTTTATTGGGTGTATCTTCTACACCCGTACGAGCCTCAAAGGGGACTACAAGGCGGGTGCCGAAGATGGGGAGCTTTGGACCCCGTCAGGGCAATGGCTTCTGGTGGGTCTCTGGTTTGATTGGCTTGATTTAAATTTGGGTTTTGTTTGCCTAATTAAAAAAAATATTGGTGTAAACAGAATTAAAGAAAATGATTCAAATCCTAATTATAATCTAACCACAAAGCCACACGAGCTTGAAAAGTGGGGTGCTAAAGTGGGGTGCTGTTGTTGTTGTCGTCATCATCTTGCTTGACCATTCCATTTCTTTTGGTTGTGGAAACATCAATCAACGTAGAAAATAGGGGAATCGGTTTAAATATCAATTTTAAAGCCATTGTTTATACTATTATTTTTGCATTTTCCAAGCATTTTCCTTTAATGGGTCCAATGTCCCAAGCAAGCAAACCTACTTGGAAATTTCGTTGCAAAATGACATAAATATCTATCAATCTTATCAGGAAAATAATAGAGGTTGTGTACGAATTGAATATAAATAAATATGTTTATTTATTTTTAAAATTTTTCGGGGTTATTTGTATTTAATAAAAAAATTATTTTACTCGTTTGAGTTGAATTTATTTAAATAATAAAATATTTATGTTCGATTTAAATTTGATTTAATTAAATTAAATGAATTTTTTAATATTAAATAAATATATTTATAAATATATAAAAATAAACATATTTATGAATAATAAATAAATTATAATCAAATAAATTTAAATAAATAAATTTTAAAAAAATATAAATAAATCTTAAAATATGATTAAGATAAAAGATAAAAATATAATTTTATTTTTATTTTAAATAACAAATTTCAAATAAATCATAAATAAATTTATTTACGAAAATAAACAAACCAAATAGACCTTAAAAATATAATTTTGTTATTGTTGTTTGTGTTTGGTTCATTTACGTAAAAATATTATGTCAAAACTTTTATTAAATTTAATAAATAAATATAAACAAATAAAAATAAAACATATTCATAAATAATTCATCAATAACTCTACCAATTTAAAACCCTAAATTTTGACAAATTTTTCGATCTCTCCCAAACGTCACCATTATCATTCATCCCATACGATGATAAATATCAGCTGAGCTTCTCTCTTGATTTCGTCAGTTAATTTTCATGATTTAAAAAAGAAAAAAACATTAGCAATAATGTTCAATTAAAAATATGAGTCTCAATTTTCATGGATTGCTTTTTCTCTAAGAAAAGGAGGAAAAACAAACTACATGAGAAGGGGAGAAAAAAAACCACATCTGCTTATCAACTTGAATGGGATATTTAAAATGCTTCCAATTTGATGGTCTAACACCATTACAATGGCATTGGAAATTTATTGCCCACTAAATTTTTGTAAGCAAATAATGCTAATCAAACACCCTTTCAACAAATAAGATGCATGAAAACAAGTCATAAATGTAATGTTTTGGAGCATGTAAAATTTTATGCATAAAATATAAAATTATATTAATTCTTATAATTACCCTCACATATAGTACAATATGATATCACTCTTACAAAATTTTACATGATTTTAAATTGAGATAATATCCTGTTTAGTCTTTGAATTATTATACTTTTTTTAATGTGATATCTAAATAAAAAATTTTAATATGATATTTAAATTACATTTTTTGTGTATTAAGTTATCTCAACCTTTAATAATAGTAAAATAACATTGATGTAGCATTTAAATATTGATATGAATGACACATGACTGTCACGTAATCTATATATGATTATCACATCTTATTTTTAAAATAAAAAAAAATTGTAAAATATAATTTATAAAAAAAATTATTATTATTTTTTATTCTTTAAAAAGATACATGACAGCTTATCACTGCCACATATGACATACATGATCATTTAAGTGTCATGTTAATATTATTTTAATGATATTAAAAGGTTGTAGTAACTTAATATGATGAATTAAAGTTTACTTACCTGATTAAAAATTTTTTTAGTTTAAGTATCATGCTAAAAAAATTACAATAATTTAAGAGTCCAATCAATAAATTACAAAAATAAAAATAAATTACTTTGATAATTTCTTTAATCTTTGATCAATAATATTGAATCAACCAATTCTTTAGTAAAAATAATTTAGTGGTCTTGATTGTGGCCTTTTTCTTTATAAAAATGCCAATTTAATATTAGTTTATGGTTAAAAGAAATAAAAGATGGATGAGAGATTTATAAATTTCCTACTTAAAAAAAAAGCATTTTTCCTTTAGGAAAAAAATCAAATTTCTTAAAGGATTTGAGTTTAGGGTTCGAGGGATTGGTTTCGGCCACCGTTCTTAACCTTTGAATGGCCAATTACAATGCTTAAGGCCCAAGTCGTAGTTTATTGGGCCAAGTGTGTTCTTATTTTTTTAAACTAAGAAAGGTCCACAAAGTAAGCACAGACACAAAGTTTTTCTCTGTTGCAGTCTTTCGACGTCGTCGCTGGTTCCGATGGACGAAGCAATGATAGCCGCTGATGCCTCTGCAAGGTTTCGATCGGCGTCATCTCAGCCGTCCGTTGTCCCTTCCAACGTCCCTCTTCTCTCCTCTTTCCTTGCCTTCGCTCTCGCTCAATTCCTCAAGCTCTTCACCACTTGGTATTTTCCCTTTATCTTTTTTTTTGTTAATTTTCTGTTTAATCGCTTAGAAAACAAGGTGAAAGAGGATAAGCAGATGAACCCATGTCTTTAAAAGCCGTTTCAGTGTGAAATTTTCAAAATTTTCTTGGTTGTGGGGTGGACCGGAGGGGTCAGCTTTTAGTTTTCAAAAAAAGAAAAAAAATAAATGTTTAAGAAATCATGCGTCGGCTTTGGTACTTCAGTTGACGAGCTACGAATGGAATTTCATAATCATAAGTGATGGTTGAAATATTTGTAATCTTTGTTCTAACTTTAGACCTTACAATTTAAAAGGACACGAATATGATACGAATAGGACACGAATGTGATAGGGTTTAAAATTTTATCAATAACCATGTATAGATTTAACAAAATCAAAAAACATATTTTATGTTTTTATGTGCGTAATTTTCGTATAAAATATGGCACCTAGCCACCTACTAACCTTTGTGTCTTACTTTTATGACCATGGGAACATATAGTTCAACAAAATGTCTCATCTACTCGTTTCTTATTGTCATTTTCTTGTCCATGTGCATTTTCTCGGTCAGTGTTTGAATATATCCTCTTAGACATGTAGGTACAAGGAGAAGAGATGGGATTCTAGAAGGATGCTTGGGTCTGGTGGAATGCCCTCATCGCATTCAGCAACTGTGACTGCTCTTGCAGTTGCCATTGGTTTGCAAGAAGGAATTGGTGGATCAGCATTTGCTGTTGCACTTGTTTTGGCATGTGTTGTATGTACTTGCTGACCAGGTCTATTGACTACCATTAATACATTACCATTGTAGTTGCCTGGGTTAACATTTTGGGTTTCTTGGCAGGTAATGTATGATGCTACTGGAGTAAGACTCCATGCTGGTCGTCAAGCTGAAGTAAGCTTGTTTCTTGTAATCAGTTTATGTTGTTTTTTGTATGGGTTGTACTTCATTGTCAAGATTATTGGCCAATCTGCTCAAGTTTGGTAAGAGACCATTGCATCTATAAAGCCATCTGTATGCCTCCATTGAGTTCTAGCTCAGTGCAACTCAGTTACACCATGCAGTCTATATCTGATCACTCTGTTAAATAGTTGCCGTTGAGTTCTGTTTGTTTCTCTCATTAGACAGATGCTCCTGGTTTTACGTTAGTGTATAAATTTTGTATTTCTTTGTTTACAGAATTGTTATTCATTCATTGATTATAAAATTTATCAATCTTTAGAGAATTGTTATTCATGCATTTATTATAGATAAATTTTATTTGTCTTTTCGGATTTAACACTCAACGCATTCAGGGCATGCCACTCATGCATTTGAGTCTTATCCGATTTTATTCTAGAATGTAGCTGACATGGATAAAGTTCCTTTAAGTTCATACATATTTTATGAAATGAGACATGGTATTTTAGGATAGCAAGTCTATAGATTCATCAATGAAAGGATTGCTAATGTGCTTATTCCTCCGGATTCCTTCATTATAACCATTGGAAGTTCCGCTCTTCTACTCGTTTCCAAGTAGTCTATTATGAGCATAGCTAGCTAAGTTGATTTACTTGATGTTTCACTTGTACGGTTGTACCTGCTGACACCTTGTAATGTTTTAATAATGAGTTAATCATGTATGTTTCTGCAGTTACTCAATCAAATTGTATGTGAGCTACCTCCTGAGCATCCTGTCTCCAATGTCAGACCTTTGCGAGATTCACTTGGTCATACACCACTTCAGGTATGAAGCTAATCAAGCTATCAACAATACAAATCATGCTATCAAAATTTTGGTATCCATCTGCTAGTTTGAGAAATGATGGTCACCTAAGAGAGGGGGGAAGCAACAACTTTAATTTTCTTAGATGCCAGCTTTTGCTTTGTATCGAGTAACAGCCAGAGGTGGAACTTTGAATTTTGGATGTCCTAAATGTGAACCAATGGAACAATTTTTTTAAACATGACAACAAATGGGTATTATCATATGGTATTATTACATGATCCAAAATGAATCTTATTGATCTAAAAGAGTTTAATGTTGCCTCATTTTGTACTTACCTTGTTCGATCGGTTTCGGTTCAGGTTCTTGCCGGGTCCATATTGGGTTGTATTGTAGCATTCGTCATGAAAACTTCCAGTTAGGACGGGAAATGGAAGATTTCAGTTCTGTTGCAAGTGGCTCATGCTTATACTTTGAGAAGAATCAGAGCAGACGACTTGCCACTTTTCACCCAGCGAAGTTCTGGCATTGTAATTACTTGGGGTTTTTGCCTTGTAGCTTAAGCAATTGTGAATTATAACATGTACTTCATAGTCTCCACTGTTCCTCGACCTTTCCCTTCTTCAAAAACAGCAACAATCTTTAATCTGTATTATGTTCTGAGATTAGATAGAGAAATCTCTAAATTAAAGGAGCTACACGATTGGAGATTTCAAATTTAAATTTGCTGAATTTGCAGAACGTTACTTATGATTACGTGGATTAATTAAATTAAAATTGGAATTTAACTTTTAACATATTTTCAGTGTTATATTTGTTGATAGTCAAATTTATTTAGGAATTTTCGAAAAACAAATAAGATAATTGAAAATATGATATGATAATATAATATAAATATAATATAAAAATAATAAGATTTAAAATTTTAATAATAATCATATAAATTTAACAAAATTAAAAAAATTATTTTATATTTTTATATTCATATGAATTATCATATATAATATTTATATAAAATGCGATAATTAATTTTAATATTTTATTTATAATAATTTACACAATATTAATGTAGGAATGATGAGGTCTATACCATCCCAGTTTCACTAATAAAAAAGGAAAAAAATAACATTCCCTCTCCTTTTCAAATTTCTCTCAAAGAAGGAAGCGCTCAGCCCGAGGCAAAGAGCGCCAATGTTAAACCGTCTCCAGTCACCGATTATCTCTTTCTTCTTAGACTCCAACAACGACCAACTCGAACGCGCTCAGGCCCGAGCCGCCGCACGTGGCTCCGCCGTCCGTCGCACCATCACCGTCCCCTTTCCTTCTCCTCTTCCTCCTCCTCCTTCCGATCCTTGCCTTACCAAAAACCAGATCATTGAGTTGTTCCAAAACTGCATTAAACTCGCCGGCGAAAACGTAACATCTTCTCTGAAATTCTCTTCACTAGTTTGATTCTCTAGAAGTTTCGTTTAATCGAAAATATAAATAATCTTTTCGGTTATATAATTTTTATTCATTGTTGTAAAATTAGAGTAACATTTTGTTCTATGTTTGGCTGCTGAGAAAATGATAGAAAAAAAATAATACTAACTATCTTTTTAACTGTTAGCAATAAAAAGTTGTGGCTCTTTGTTTGGTATAGAAAATAAACCAGAAGAATACTTGGGAGTTGAAGCTTATTGATCATCTAAGCGAGATCATTAAAGTCGAAACAACTGAAGGTGATTCAGAGACTAATTTCCAAAAGGTTCAGATTACTTTATTTGCGAAATGTAGTTAATAAGCAGTCATAGTATATAATTTACAAGCTTTTTTTTTTTTAGTTTTGATGGAGTTTTTACTGGTCAGGCAAGTTGCACATTGGAAGCAGGGGTGAAAATTTACTCTTTCAGAGTCGATGCCTTGCATGCTGAGGCATACAAGATTCTTGGTGGTATCCATCGAGTTGACCATGAAGATGAACAAGGTATAAAATTGTTTTAATTGTGTTTTACATAGAGTTCTTGTTGGAAGATTCTTGGCGTGGTTGTACTGTGACATGTTAGTTATGGCCAACAAGATGAACAAAGTATAAATTGTGTTGCCTCTAAATAGATTTTAATTGGATTGGTTACTTGGTAAATTTTGTTTCCCATGTTTCTTGGTGTCCACTTTAGAGGGCTGTTTTTGAGGGTTAAGGAAGTGGATGAAAATGTTGTTTTTTGACAGAAATAAGTGATGCAAGAAGATTCAAAACTATGATCTAATATGATTCCCATTTTTGGCCTTTCATATAGCGGACCCTAGAGTTATGGGATATAAGGTTAGTTTGTTGTTGTTATTGTTATATGTTTTTTGGTGTCCACTTTAGAGGTATTTTCCCTAACATAATAAAAGAAGAAAACACTGAAGAATGCTACATCAACTTTCTTTTATGCGTATATCTTTTACATTTAGATGAACTAATAAAGATTCACTTGAATAAGGTTTGTTCTTGTGTATCTTGTTTAAGTTCTGGTTTAAGTTTTACCATTAGAAAAAAGAGCTTGTAGTATTATTTCTTTAAGAACTTACAGGGTTTCGTTGCACAGAAGGATGTTCTATTTGGTCGGTTCCCTAATATAGTGCTTTGGTGACAGAGACTATCATGAAGGGTGACAACACATATAACAGGGAGGAGAACGGTTATAACAAGAAAGAGTCTGAGAGGTTTCAGTTCACTGATTGATTTACCAATTGAACTGCAGGCTGACATAAGTAATTTGTACAGATCTTGCCAATATCAACACTGGAGTCTTCTTTTGAAGCTCTTAATGTCCAAAAGTTTGAGGGTAAGTATATCTTGTATTTTTTCTCAGGTCATTGTTTTATTTTTCTCTCTAATTCATGAATTATTTTTTGCCCTGATTTTGTAGTTGCATTTGCTGTGGATCCTCTATATCACCAAACATCTGCACAATTTGATGAAGGTGGAGCAAAAGGTCTTCTTTTGAATAATCTTGGTGTATACGAAGGTTGTAGGGTACTTTTTGATTCTTTTGAAGTGCCAGGGAAGTGCAAATCAGGTTCACTTCAAAACAATAACTTGGAAATGAATGATATCTCATTTGCCAAAGGTATATTTTACTGCTGATAAAGACATTCGTACCCATTTTGTTTTACCAGAAGTTGTGTGCCTAAAAGTTAGAATTTGGCTGTGATTTTCATTTTCTTTTTTACATGTTATGTCCATTTACTTAACTTATTTGCAGAAACTGTTAAGAATATGGTCACAAACATGCTTGCAAAGAATGAAATTTGTCCAACCCTAAAGGTCATTGTATGCCATTTTGGTGAAGATAATCAAAGGTCATATGAAACATTTGATGTTGGCCAGAAATGTGATATCAGAGTAGACGACACTGCTGGTTCTAATGAAGCTGATTTTAATGATAATGCACATGTAAATTATGATGCGTGGTCCTTTAGTCATGATGAGGTGTCAAGTGTTGTTAATGAGGGCTTCAATTTCGATCCTAACTTTCATGATGCTGATGATGTAGTTTGTCCTATATTTTGTCACTTATCATGATTCCGTTTTCCTTGAGTCTCTTCTCTTTGCTCTAGCCACTTAGTGAAACATATAAGAAGATATGAGAGATCACCCAAATATGATTGGTTTATAACGTAGGAGAATGATACTTATGCTTCTTGCGAACCTGATCTTGAGGATAGATTTGAGAATGTTGCCAAATTTTTGTACCAAGGGCTGGAATTTACTTCAAAGCAGAATGCATGGGCGGGTCCCAATCAATGGAAATATCGGAATTACAATGGTTGGTATCAGCAGGGAGGTTATTATTCATTCCTCTTCTGAGTTACAGGATTCCATTAGTTTGCCACTTTGCCTATGTGTCTTTCTTGTAGGTTTAGAGGATATTTGTGCTACAAATGTTGAATCGGCCTTAACTACCAAGAAACCAAAGAGCAAAAACCTGAAAGAAGTTGATGTTGATTTCACAAAAAGCTTGGACAAAGAAATGCATGATGTCTTTGTGCCTCCCAAAAATCTAAAGCTTTTGCTGGTTCCTGCAAATAGAGAACCATGTAATAACACGCTTCCAGAAGACTGCCATTATCAACTTGAAAGTCTTGTCAAGTTGTTTCTTCTACCTAACATTATGGTAATGTATGTGGAAAAATTAAGAAATAAAATTGCGTAGAAAAAAAAGAGAAAAACTGAATGTATATTGAAAAACTACTCATTAAGAAATATACAAAAAATATACAAAAACCTTAGTTTTATATACAGCTAATTAGGGGTTAAACTAGGAAATTAAATCTTCTTAAAAAACTAATCCTATAATTGAAGGATTGTCTATCTTAATTTTTTTGTCCTTAATTCTAGGGATACAAATACTTAATTTTGGATATACAAATATAAATATACAGATTACAAGATTACATCTAGCTGTAAATAAATGTTTTCCCACACTCCCCCTTAAGCTAGTGAATAGGTGTTTTTCATTCCCAGCTTGAAAATAATTTCTTGAAATGTTGCACTGCTAAGACCTTTAGTCAATACATCTGCAACTTGACCCTTGGTTGATATATAAGGTGTACAAATCAACCCACTGTCTAGTTTTTCCTTTATGAAATGACGGTTTATTTCAATGTGTTTTACTCTGTCATGTTACACAGGATTGTGTGCAATGCTTATTGCAGACTTGTTATCACAGTAGAGTCTCATTGGTCTATCCCACTTGATCTTCGAGTCTTCTAGGATAATCTTTAACCATAGTAGTTCACAAATTCCTTGAACCATTGCTCTGAACTCTGCTTCAGCACTTGATCTTGCCACTACATTTTCTTTTTTACTCTCCCAAGTCACAAGATTACCACCTAAGAAAGTGCAGTAACCTAAGGTGGATCTTCTATCAATTATTAAACTTGCATAATAAGCATCTGTATATGCTTTTAAAACTAGTCTCAAAATTTTTTTGAATAAGATACCTCTCCCAGGATTGGCCTTCAAATAGTGCAATATACGGTAGACAGCCTGTAGGTGCACTTCTTTAGGACTATGCATGAATTGACTTACCACACTCATAGTATATGCTATATCAGGTCTAGTATGTGAGAGATAAATGAGTCTTTCAACTAATCTTTGGTACATCTCTCTATCTACGGTAGCATTTTCATTAGCTTCTTCAATTTTATGATTAGGATCTATAGGGGTATTTGCAGGTTTATATGCGAGCTTTCGAGCTTCCGAATTTCCTTCAGAAGATCCATCACATAGTTCTGTTGTGAGATGAAGATACCATGCCGTGAGTGCGCTACTTCAATTCCTAGGAAGTATTTCAATCTCCCTAGCTTTTTTATCTCAAATTCTATAGCCAAACACTGTTTAGTCTCTTGCATTATCAGACCTAAATCTCTTGATTCTCACTCCAAATTGATTTTGGGCCATGTTTTGGAAGCTTAAAAACACACTATTCACATCGAATTTGGATTTAAGTAAAAAAACCCGAGAGATTATGGTACAATCATCTATGAATGAAACAAATCATCTTGCACCAAAAATATTAGGAATTGTAGAGGGATCCCAAATGTCACTATGAATCAAGTAAAAAGGAATAGAACTTCTTTTTTTATTAATTGAAAAAGACACACATCTATGCTTTGCAAGTTTTCAAACATCACAATGAAAATCTCCGACATTTAATCCTTTGAACAAAGAAGGAAACATGTTTTTCAAAGTTCCAAAAGAAGAATGTCCAAGACGAAAATGATAA